TGTTAAACCAAAAAGCAAAAGGTGTACAGCCCTTTAATCGCCAACTTGAGCGTAAGATGATTTGTTTAAAATATTAATGATATTGCTTTTTAATTGTATCAAGAATCCATCTTCGACAAAATGTGGGGTTTTTTTTAGTTTAAAGGAGGCATGAGGAAAGTGTTTGATTTCAGTCCTTTACTTCTCTAACTCAGCTCAATATTTGAGCTTCATGATTAATAAAATAATAGCATAGCTCATTTCTCTTATTATAGATCTATCTGGAAAAAAAATTTTAAACTGTCTCCACATACTGTGACCCAAAAGTGTCGTTTTTCGTGATTAAACATGGTTGAGTAGGTAGTTGGCTGTTGCTCTGGTGTGGTTTGCTCCTTCTTTCCCAGCAATGATCAACCTCCTATCGATGTTATCCCTTCTCCTTCTGTATTGCTTTTGTTACTCTCTCGCAAAACTTCTAATCTTCTGCACTTATATTAATGGCCTAACTGTGCTGCAAGTGCCGTAAAACGCTTACTAAATCAAACATGGTTAAGCTGATTCTTACGACACAGATATAGTACGGTTGCACCTGACGTCATCAAGAGGCCCTTGCTGCTGGTGGTAAATGGAAGCTTTAAAAAAATAATTAAAGATTGTTACGTTTTCACTTTTTGTGTGTATTGTTACAAATTTGTGTTGAAATCAACAGAACTCAAAATTATGATAATGACGGAATTTGCCTTACGTGAAGGAAATCTTGTTCGCTGTTGCCACTCCAAGTTCAACTAATTCCAAGACGAAACACAACGGTCAAACACGAAACTACGAACATCTGAAACTTTGGTAAATGGAGCTGAAATTGGCAACACTGTATTTAGCGTCTTTCTGGGATACAAGGTATTAGAAATCGATTACGTTAATCCTTTGCGATTACCTGTAAGTTCCGTTTAGGTATGTTCGAAGGCGAGAGTGTAACGAACCTATCTCATTGGTCCAGGAATAAATTATGTGGAAAAGAGAGGGCGGGTACATATGGTGCACTGAGTTGGACAGTCTTGACAAAGAATGTGACCTATCCCATTCTAATTTTGGTGACCCACTATTAATTGTTAAGGTAGATCTGACAAGGCATAAATAGGGGGCTCTCGTGGTCAAGAGGTACGGTGTTCACCTCTCAATCAATAGGCTCAGGGTTTGAAACCTTACTGCGACGGAAATTTTTCTTCTCTAAAAATGTCCCATTTCGCCTCCTTTTCTGCTCTCTGACCACATTCGGTCGTCTGCTTTCGTCTCCGCTTTCTGCTCCCACCCCTCCCCTTCTTTGTCCCCTTCTCTGGGCTCCTGACTCTTTCTGCTGCCTTTCTACTGCTACTCATTGGCTCCTTCTTACTGCTATCTTTCAGCCATACCCTTGATCTCAGGGTAAGATCTAACACCAAGTTTTTTCGGATGAGGGCGAAAAATCTCGGAGTCCCGTGTGCAAGTTGCGCTCATTAAAGATCTCTTGGTGGTCCAAAATCGATAAGAGAAGGCTTCAGCCGCCACCCGGGGAAAATTCAAATTTAATTCCTACTAAACTGATTATGCTTGATGTGTCCTGCGCACTCATTATATGACCCTATGCAGTTGCGAGCGCAGTAAAACACTTACCCCCCCCCCCAAAATGCATTAACACAGTTTTGATCTGTAATAGCATTTTATCAGGGGGGGGGTGTTGTTGTTTATTTTTACTTTCGTTTTTCACTATAACATGAACATGAAACTATCCTTTTCTTGCTTTTAATATTTATCTGAAATGCAAGAGGTTAAAATCCTCAAATAAGACACTAAGGTTTTCGAGGGAAAAAAATTATGTTTTGAAGTTATCACTTGCTGCCATCTAATCTAATATGCCTTTACATCTCTCTCTCTCTCTCTCTCTCTCTCTCCTATAATTTCTCCTACTACCAATATCAGTAGCACTGTACTAAAAAGATACCAGTATCGAAATTTAGTCTAAGAATTCTGTATATAAACTGCAAAAAAGTAATGAAGTAATTCTTACACTTACAGCAATATGGCAGCGATTATCACTAAACAATACCATAACAAACATTTAATTTCCACTTCACCTGCTGTCCTGTCTCTCCACCTTCATCAGCAAAGTCATCAAGTTCAAGTTGTTTGTGACCCAAATGCAAGTGGAGTCCTGTGGTCTGGTGCGGCTCCTTAGTTAGCCTACTGTTATTGATGAGACTGCTAATGCTTACATTCTCTTCAACAAAAGCCAATCTTTTTGGGTCTGCGCTCATGCTAAATACTTCTTCTTTGATATCATGTAGAAGTTTATAACATCGCCGCCCTTGGGATGAGCTAAGGAAGAGACAGACAGGACAAAGTTGTACCAAACTTTCAGTGCAAAATTTTAATGCTTGTAGGATCCAACAGAAATGACGTTTCCCTATCTAAAAAATCGTATGCAAAACTTTTGATGCTTTTTTTTTGACGCACAACTCTGCGGCCATGCATATTGACAGAGAAACTAATTTGCTCTACAAAACTACTTTATTATTGAATTGTAGCATCTAAATAAGCCATCAATCAATAGCACTACAGTGGGAGCAAACAGGATATATTGGACATTTCTCAAACTTCACAAGTGTGTCGAGTGATGTTATTCAGTCCTAAGGATCAACATTTCAAGGCATACTTTAAAACAAAAATCTTGCATTGACAAATAAAGAGGAATAAAACACAAACCACAAACTATAAGGGGAGTTCACCTAAGAAAATAAAAAAAGGTGTTCCGTAATTGGTAAATACAGACAATTGAGATCCGTGAAGGAGTGATGAATGAACCAAGAAATGATGTTCTTTTACTATGGGTTAAAATGGACATCAGGTCCACCTATTGAAAGAAAGGCAATTTCAGTACCATTCCAGTCAGATCATTTTTCATAATACCATGACCACCAACCTCTGAAATATTTTGCGCTGTTGCCCTGAAAAGTCTGTTCTCAATTTGTCCAAGGAGCAAGAAGTCCAATGCAAACCATCTTGCCAAAGCAACGCTTTACCCTTTGATGGACCTTACAAAGGACAACATAAATTATAATTGTACAAAAGAATATGAATGTCATTTAAAAAAAAAAAATTTTTTTTAATGTATCAAGCACAAATCAAATCTTTTTACTTGACTTTTGAGCGAATGTAACCTCACTGCATAGGCTTCTACGTGTACAGAGCGATATTAGTATATTACATGATAAAAGACCTTGAAAGTTTTCCTTTGAGAGTGTGAGACTCGACAAAGATCTTTTTCTATTTAAAAACTGATGGTTTTAGTCATTTCCCATGCTCTCGTGATCCGTCTGATATAGCTTTAACAGTTCTCTTGTGAATAGAGGTCAAAAAGTAAGAAAACGAATTAAGGAAGCCAGTTGTGCTGGCTTTATATAGATCTATTCCCATGTATAAAAATCTAGCACAAAGTTCTCTGACAGGGCTTGTGTCCACGTAAACAAATAGTTCACTTTTTTAAAAAGTGCGTATACATGTAAGCTTATGGGTCTTACATTCAACATCAACCAATTGGTTGATTTTGTCCTCAAGCTCCTTGATGTGTTTTTCTGTCTCTTGCAAAATTAACGCCTGGGGAAGGGAAAAGGCAACTCACAGGCGGTCAATATGTCAAGAGAAGTAAGATGTGATCAAAACGAAAAGTAAAGGCATCTGTTGAAAAGCTTTAACCATCATGAGATTGTGAGATTTTCCTTGCAACAAACTGCGATGACACTTACGAAATTCTAGTGGTTTATACTGAAAACTACTTTTTAAAAAACCATGGCTATATTCTATCAGGAAAAACAGAAACGCTAATAATTTAACAATTTAAGACATCAAAGCCCCTGTCTCACGGTAACTGGGGTATAAGGGGCATAGGCTACATGAACTTGGCAAAATATTATTAATACATGCATTATCATCAATCAGTACAAATGACCATTGGCCATAGATTACAAATACTGTACATCGTGTTTCTTAGTAGTATACTTTCATAAATATTTGTCTTCTTTCATTTCTTAAATATAATTATTATATTAGCGCCGTAGGTAGATTAGTGGTTAGGCTACTAGACCCTAATCATGAAATTGAGATTGCTGGTTTGGGGGTTGAACAGACATGCAGCAACACAAAGGCAAAAGGACATTGTAGCCTAGCTCAATCGAGTGTAAGACTCCATCGTACATCACTTTTTAATTGACACATAGATCTCTCTCTCTCTCTCTCTCTCTCTCTCTCTCTCTCTCTCTCTCTCTCTCTCTCTCTTGCCCTTTTTAACTCCAAGTGGAGCACAGGCCATCAACAACAATACTCCAGCGAAGCCTGTCCTGTGCATCATTTTCTAGCTGTTTCCATGATGTCCCCGCTTTTTAAAATTCCGCATGTACCGCTCGCCTCCATGTCATCTTTGGTCTTCCCTTCTTACGCTTTCTTGTGGGTTCCACGTCAAAGCAAGCCTGGTGATGCTTGTCGGGGGTCTCCTCATGTTGTGTCCAATCCATTTCCATTTCTTCACCTATATATGTCTTCCTTTATTGGCCTCTGGCTTGTTCTTTCCCACAGTTGAGCATTTGTGACTCGATCGTACCACTTGATCCCCACTATCCTTCATAGGCATCCATTTACGAAGCTATGCAGTTTCCTTGCAGCTGATGTTGTGAGCCTCTATGTCTCTGAAGCATACAGTAGAACAGTCTTCACGTCTGTTTTGAAGATCCTCAGCTTGGTGTTCAATCCCAGTTCCTTAGACATCCATATATTCCTGAGGATGATGAATGCTGCTCTTGCCTTTTCGATTCTGACCTTGATGTCTTCGTCTGTTCCCCCTGCCTTGTTGATGACACTTCCCAGGTAGGTGAAGGATTCAACATCCGCCAATGGAGTCCCTTGCAGTGTGAAAGGAACATCGACTGCATTCATTCAAAGAACTTTCATTTTATCCGTGTGAATATGGAACCCAACACTATAGGAGAAGGTCCTGAGGCGATCTATTTTCTGTTGCATCTGGGCTTGACTGTAAGAAAGAAGTGCCAAGTCGTCGGCAAAGTTCAAGTCTTCCAACTGACTGGAAAGGGTCCATTGTATGCCACCGCGTTGTCCCAATGTTGTCTGTCTCATTATCCAATCCACTGCTAATAAAAAGAGAAAAGGCGATAGCAGGCATCCCTGTCTCACTCATGTATTCACTTCAAACGAGTCTGTCCGCTGACCTCCAAGTAAGACACTGCAACTCATTCCGTCATACATCTTCTTCATCAATCTCACGAACTTGTCAGGTATTCCGTAGTGGCACATGAGCTTCCATATATTGAGTCTCTATCTAGGCTGTTAAAAGCTTTCTGGTGGTCAACAAAGTTAACGTTCAGGGAAGAGTTCCAATCTGTGGACTGCTCCACTATTATCCTCAAAGTTGCAATGTGATCTGTACATGATCTCTTTTGACGAAATCATGCCTGTTCCTCTCTTAGTTTTGCATCCACGGCTTCCTTCAGTCTTTCCAGTATGGTACGACTTAAAATCTTCCCAGGAATGGACATGAGCATGATTCCTCTGTAGTTTTTACACTCATGCAGGTCTCATTTCTTAGGTAGTTTCACTAGCAATCCCTCTCTCCAATCCTGAGGAAATTCTTCGCTGTCCCATTTCTTGCCAATAATTCCATGAAGAATCCGTGCCGCAGTGTCGATATCCGCCTTGAGAACTTCTGGGGGAATTCCATCTGGGCCAGCTGCTTGGCTGCTTTCTGGTGTCTTATCGCTTCTTTGATCACCTCTAAACTGGGCTTTTCTTCACTCACCTCCAGATCAATCTCTGCTGGTTGAATGTCAAAACTGTTTTTATGGCCTTGGTCTGTTCAGTAGCTCTTTGAAATGCCCTTCCAGCGTTCTTTCTGTTCGTCTGGATTTGTGAGAAGCTTTCCCTCTTTATCCTTCACTGACACATCTGCGTTCTTGTATCTGCCCGCAAGTTTCTAGGTGGTTTCATACAGTCCTCTAATGTTTCCTGCCCCAGCTGCTTCCTTTGCCTCTCGCGCTAGGTCATCTACATAGTTTCTTTTGTCTTTCCGTACGCTTCACTGCTTTGGGGTATTCTTCTTGAGCTTTTGCTTTAGTTGCTCTTGTCTTGCTCCTGTTTACCTGATCCTTTTTCCGCTTCCTATCTTCTATCTTCTAAGGTTGGTGGCAGATATCCACGACTGGTGCTCACATTTCCGTTCCCCAGTACCCGTTGACACACAGTGGTCCAGCCTTCTTTTATAGCCTCCTGTTTCTTCCACGTTGCAATCCTCGCCTAGTGTTTTCAACACTTGGAACCTGTTCTTAATAGCTACATTAAACTCCTCTCTTGACTATGGCTCTCTCAGAAATTCCACGTTGTAACGGTACCTATGATTGACAATTCCCTTTAGTTTTAGTCGGATTGTTGAAATGAGCAGATTTCCGAAGCTTCGTCTGCACCCCTCTAAACTCTAAAATCCCGTATTGATCTCCTGAATTTCTTGTTGACACATATGTGGTCAATCTGGTTTTCAGTTTGTTTGTCTGGAAACATCCATGTTACTTTGTGTATCTGTTTATGAGGGAAAACAGTCCCTCCTATCAAGAGCCCATTCGTTGCACATATTTCTGCAAATAGTTCTCCGTGTTTCCCCGTGATTTCCTCAAAGCCTATCTGCCAACCTTAGCGTTAAAGTCTCCCATTACTATCAAGATGTCCTTCCTTCTAACCTGATCAATAGTATGTTGTAGCATTTTGTAGAAAGTCTCTTTCACATCCTGGTCCTTATCATTGGTGGGGGCATATCCTGGACAACATGAAGGTTGATGTCTTTCTTCTGTGAACGGAATTCAGCTGATATTAGTTGCGGGCCCTCTGCTTTCCGTCCTATCAAAGCCCGCTTGGTGTGTGTTGATAACAGAATACCTGCTCCTTCTGTATGCGGCGAGTTTTCTTCCAGATGTCCAGAATAGAGAATTGTTTCCCCTGAAGCAAGTTGGCACTCCCCTGCATTCGTCCATCTCGTCTCACAGAGACCCAATATGTCCAGTTGGTAGGCCTCCATCTCTCTTGCAACCTACAGTTCCTTCCCTGCCTCGTACATTGTACGAACATTCCAGGTGCCAAGTCTGATGGTACTTCTGGTCGACAGGAGGCTTCTCAGCTTAGTGGCTTCCTTTCGGCTTTCACCACCCTGCCTCATTCTTATCTACACTCCATATTCTCTCCTCTCCTCGGTTATGAAGATAAACCATCTTCCAGTACAGGCGGTCGTGTTGTTTTTGCTGCTGCTGTTTTTGTAGCTGCTTTTTGTTTTACGGGAAAGGGTTGCTAACCACACGGGTGAGATCCAGATCTAGACCCTGAATCTAGAGCGGAGTCTTAAACTAAACAGTCGATATAATGTAAGTGCTTTCCAAGAGAAAAGGCAGCCAACTGTCCATCAAGTAAAAGTAGAAACCTTGAGAGTGAAAATTCAGTTCTTGCTGCTAAGAACAAAAGACATGTTTTCTACATCTATACTCTAGATCTAGAATATATAGATATAGAATCTAGAAATAGATCTAGACATCTAGATCTAGATTCTAGATCTAGATTTATATCTATCTAGATCTAGATCTAGATCTAGATCTAGATCTAGATATAGATTCTATATCTAGATCTATATCTAGATTTTCTAGATCTAGATTTCTAGATCTAGAATCTAGATCTATCTAGAATCTAGATATAGATATAGATCTAGAGATCTAGATATCTAGAATCTAGATTCTAGATCTAAATCTAGATTCTAGATCTATAAATCTATACCTAGATTCTTAAAATCTAGACGTCTAGGCCTACCTTAGAAATTTTCCTCCTTGACATTTGCTTCATGTTGGGAACAACGTATTTTAAGGTATCATAGCATGTTGCCACACTTGCCCTCCATTTCGCATCACTCTGACGACGCTTTGCTCTTAGAGGACTGTAACTGGGGTGATGGTCTCTTTGATTTGACATTTTATGTGAACAAAATATCTGCAAATAAAAGTGAAATAAAAACAATCTATATTCTAGATCTAGATTTCTAGATCTAAATGAGATATTCTAGTTTAGACAAAGCCCTCCCAAACACAAACACCTCTCCACGTCTAATCTTTCAAACTGATGGGAGTCCTGTTCAATTGTGGTCCCGTTTGCACTTACTGACTTAACGTCCCTGTATTTCTAGATCTAGAAAGGTCATAGGCCTAGATCTAGTCGACACTTGCCTTTCTTTTTTTCACTTCCGTGCAATCTAACACAATTTCAAACAATAGAATCCCAATATTCCTGTTAGGCTAGGCCTAGGGGCCTACGGCAGACTTTCAAAATCAAAGTGTAGTTCACTTCTGCTGCGGTTCTGCAATATTCTCACTTCCCACTTCCTGTTCCTTTTTAGCCTAGCTAGGCCAAAGAGTCTACATAACAAGAGGGTCCACTTCTCTCTTTGAGCCAATTAAAAAAGTGTCCTCAAAATTTGGTGGCGCCTTCTTCGCAAAAGCGCACCTTTAGCAAACAGAGTTATCCTACTTGAGTTTAAAAAATCAAAGTGAAACTAGCATGTTTTTGAATGAATTTCGGAAGAACGCTTTTTAAAAATGGTTACGCTGACAAAAAACCTCTTCCGAAGGAAAGGGTGATTGTTTTCTTCGTTTAATTTGACTTGAGAATGAAAGGCGAGGGGTCATTAAAATTTGTAAAAATTGAAACTCCGTACTGAACGAACCCGAACTGCTGATGAACAGCAGTCGATCTGCGCATGCAAGGAGGTGCTATTCCTATTCTTCTTCTGGAAAAACGAAAGAGAGCTTCAAAACAGACTGCAGCGCCATCTGAAGCAAAGAGCATACTTTCTGCGGACATTTTTTGGGCTGAGTGGCCCATCTTGTTATTTACTATCTTTGGCTAGGCCAGGGCCTAGGGCCAACACCAAGACGGAATAAGACAAGACGGGACAACAGTCTCATTTTCGTTCCAACTGGCCCCCCTTGGTAACCAGCATGCTGCGCGTTTAAAGCGTCAACAAGCGACAGGAAGAAAGAGCACACTGTTCAACTCGCTGAAATAGTTGCCTACTTTGAATTTCATAATGGCAGTTTTGACTTGGTTTTCTTTCAAATAAACTGTTTGGTATTTATTTTGACAGGTTTTTGTTCACATTTTGAATATAGATCTAGAATCTAGATCTAGTGAGTTGAGAAATTGAAGGTTTTTATAAACGGAAAGCGATAGTGGGTTGTACATGTTCAGTGACATGATGATGTAGATCTTTACGAAACGTAGAAGTAGATTAGATCTTACAGTTTAAAAACGACAGAACAGCCAGTGGTGCTCTGCAATGAACTGTTGTCTAACAGAATATACAATAAATTGGATATTTTTTAAACTAAAGATACGGCCACTGCTAGAGTGGGTCCATATCTATGTTCCCTAGCTCTATGTTCCCTAGCCCTATGTTCCCTAGCTCTATGTTCCCTAGCCCTATGTTCCCTCAGCTCTATTCAAGTTACACGATGACCAAAAATCAACTAATAGTCAGAGTGACCAGTGGTCAAGCAATTGTCCAGTGTGACAGTGTAGTGTTCAAGCAATTGTCAGAATGATCATTGGTCAAGCAATGATCGGAGTGACCAGTGGTCAAGCAATGGTCAGTGTGACAGTGTTCAAGCAATTGGCAGAATGATCATTGGTCAAGCAATGGTCGGAGTGACCAGTGGTCAAGCAATGGTTAAACTGACCAGTGGTCAAGCATAAGTTTATAGTGAAAATGGACATTACAGAGCTAGGGAACATAGGACTAGGGAACATAGAGCTAGGGAACATAGGGCTAGGGAACATAGAGCTAGGGAACATAGGGCTGTCCCCGCTAGAGTCCAGCAGCCTAAACTGTTGACTAGATCTAGATCTAGATCTAGATTAACTACACAGCGAGCTGTCCCCAATGTCAGAATCAATTATCATGAGCTGAAGCTAGGAAACAAAGGCACTCCTGTTCAATAGTGGTCCCGTTTGCACTAAATCACTCAAGGCCTAAGTGCCCCTGTAGTAATTTTTATGTGTTTCTTATATAGATCTAGGCCTAGATTACAGATATCTAGAATCTAGATCTAAACTGAATTAAAATTATAGATCTAATCAAGATCTAGATCTAGATAGATCTAGCTATCTAGATCTTGAAATAGATTATCTTGCTATCTAGATCTAGATAAAACCTAGAGATATCTAGATCTAGATCCACTCCCACGTGACAATAATGGCCGTCATGTAAACATCAAACGGGACCATTGTACAGGTGCACCGAAAAAGAAGCCATTTAAACAAGCACAGAAGCTTAAGTAGGTCTGTCTACTGTTGATATGATAGTATAAATCAAGTTACATGATATAGATCTAGAGTGTCTCCGCCAATTCACAGACATACCGCTTGTCAAGAGTCGCCCTTCGGTTATTCGCCAACCACTTAGGGGCCTAGATCTAGATCTAGATCTACTTTCCGAACTGCACCCTCTTGGCTGGGTGCATAACAAAATCTAGACTCTCTAGATCTAGATCCTAGATTCTAGATAGGCTACGTTTATTCATTAAATAATCTCCCTCCACCCCCCACCCTCTCTCTCTCTCTTTCTCTCTCTCTCTCTC